GCGCCGAGGTCCAGCTATCCCGAGGGAAACTTCGGAGGGAACCGGCTACTAGATGGTTCGATTAGTCTTTTGCCCCTATACCTAAGTCGGATGAAAGATTTGCACGTCGGTATCGCTCGTGGGCCTCCACCGCAGTTTCCTCCGGCTTTGCCCCGCTCGGGCATAGTTCACCATCTTTCGGGTCCCGACAGTCATGCTCTCAATCGAACCCTTCTTAGAAGATCAAGGTCAATCGGTGGTGCAACCCTCGATGGGATCTCACCAATCAGCTTCCTTGTGCCTTACGGGTTTACTCGCTCGTTGACTCACACACATGTCGGACTCCTTGGTTCGTGTTTCAAGACAAGACGAATGGGGAACCCACGGGCCGATGCTCGGAGCACACCGGCGACGAGGCACGCCGAGATGGCACGTGCCGTAATCCATAATTGTAATGACAAGCATCTCCACAAGCATTTTAAAATCTCAAGCTTGGGCTGCCACCATAATCCGCATTGGTCTACGACTCGAGTCGATCGATGGATTGGCTAGCACCATTCCACATCCGACCGAGGTGCATCATCGCCCCCATCCACTTCCCTTTTGACAATTTCAAACACTCTTTGACTCTCTTTTCAAAGTCCTTTTCATCTTTCCCTCGCGGTATTTGTTTGCTATCGGTCTCTAACCCGTATTTAGCCTTAGGTCGTATTCCCAAACAACCCGACTCGCGAGACGGCGCCTCATGGTGCAACAGGGTCCAACCACGATGGGGCTCTCACCCTCTCCGGCACCCCCTTCTAGGGGACTCGAGGGCCTGGTCCATCGCCGAGGAGGCTTCTCCGGACTACAATTCAAATGCCACAAGCGTTCGATTCTCAAGCCGGGCACCTCCCGGTTCACTCGCCGTTACTAAGGAAATCCTTGTAAGTTTCTTTTCCTCTACTTATTGATATGCTTAAACTCAACGGGTAGTCCCACGAGACTCAGGGTCATAGCAAGAGCATCATAGCAAAGCCGATGATGCTCGAGGGTCTTGGATATCCTAAAGAGCAACAGGGCATGCGCACGACCGCTTTTGAGGGTTCTCTCAACCATCGCTCATCGTGGCGGCCATCATCAAGGACTCAATTTTAGGCCAACCATGAGCGAAAGCACACGCGGAGACCAATATCCGCCCCCGCCCTCATTAGTCGAGGGGGTTTGGGGGCGACGATGCTTGACACCCAGCGGACGTGCCCTCGGCAATAAGGCCTCCGGCGTAACTTGCATTCAAAAATTCGATGGCTCATGGGATTCTACAATTCACACCAAGTATTGTATTTTGCTACGTTCTTCATCGATGCAAGAGTTGAGATATCCGTTGTCGAGAGTCGTTTAGCTTATCGCAAATTAGAGACACACCCTAGAGCACCCTTCGGCGACGGGGCACGCTCTTCGTACTCTAGTTCCTTAAAGCTTCTCGTGTTGGGGTTTTTTTTTTAGCTATGTTGGGTGTAAATGCATGCCCCCGTAGCCCTAAGGGACACGGGGGCAAAAGCCCCCTACGGCCCTAGCGTGCTCGGCCACAAGTTCATAGGTCGTTCGCCGTGTAGGTTTCGACAATGATCCTTCTATAGGTTTACCTACCGAAACCTTGTTATGACTTCTCCTTCCTCTATATGATAAGGTTCAGTGGACTTCTCGTGACATCATTGGCGACGAACCACCCACGTCGTCGCAATCCGAACACTTCACCGGACCATTCAATCGATAGGAGTGATGGGTGATGTGTACAAAGGGTAGGGACATAGTCAACGTGAGCTAATAACTCGTGCTTATTAGGAATTCCTTGTTGAAGACCAACAATTGCAATGATCTATCCCCATCATGATGAAATTTCAAAGATTACTCGGGCCTATCGGCCAAGGCTATAGACTCGTTGAATACATTAGTGTAGCACGCGTATGGCCTAGAACATCTAAGGGCATCACAAACCTATTATTGCCTCAAACTTCCTTGGCCCGGAAGGCCATAACCCCTCTAAGAAGCTGGTCGCGGAGGGTCACCTTTGTATAGCTAGTTAACAAGCCGAGGTCTCATTCGTTAACGGAATTAACCAAACAAATCGCTCCACTAACTAAGAACGGCCATGCACCACCACCCATAGAATCAAGAAAGAGGTCACAAGTTGTCGTTAATGGAAGGCTCTTTGGCTTCTTTACGGGGAAGAGTGGGCTTAGACAAGGTGACCCTCTCTCACCCTATCTTTTCATTATTTGTATGGAATATTTCTCTTGTATGCTTGGGATTGCTACGGCCGTGAGGGATTCAACTTCCACCCGAAATGTGAGGCTCAATGTATAAGCCATATTGCCTTTGCCGATGATGTTCTACTTGTATGTCGTGGAAATAGACGGTCGGTTTAATGTTTGCTTGGCAGCTCGAATGACTTTGGTAGGGTATCGGGGCTAGTCACTAATGCTTCCAAGTCTTCTATCTATCTTGGGGGAGTTAGTAACGAGTGTGAAAGTCGCCATTGTTCAAGATTCGGGTTTCGGGGAAGGCACTTTTCCCTTTACATATTTGGGAGTCCCTCTTAGCCCGTATAGGCTACTATCCGATCGGTTCTCTCCTCTTCTTTAGAAGCTTGAGGGTGCAATTCGGGGTTGGATGGGGAAGCACCTCTCTTTTACGGGTAGGTTGGAGCTCCTTCGGTCTGTTTTGACCGGCATGATTCGGTTTTGGATATCTATCTTTCCCCTCCCTCCTCGGTTATCTCTAGCATTGTCGGCATCTAAAGGAATTTCCTTTGGTCGGGAGATGCAAAAAATTCAGTACCACCCTTGTTTCTTGGAAGCTCCTCTGCCGACCTAAGGAGGAGGGTGGTTTGGGACTCTTTGATATCCCATCTTGCAATGCCTCTTTCATTGCTAAGCGACTTTGGGATATCCATCTCAAGTTGGATTCGGTTTGGATTCGGTGGGTACACCATTATTACCTTCAACATCATTCGGTGTGAGAGACTTAAGCTAATAAACAAGCTTCTCCTTTGTGGAAATCCATCACCTGCTCCGAAAAATCGATTAGTTCGACGAGAATGGGGATAGTGTGCGAGTTGTTGATTTGATGCAAAGTTGGCAAGCCCGGGATGGGAAATTTACTCGGTATGCTTATGAGCATTTCGAGCCGAAAGGGGATTAAGTACGATGGGTCCATGTGGTGTGGGAACAATGGTCCTTTCCTCGGCATGCTTTTATACTCTAGTTGGCTATTAGGGGCAAGTCGCGAACCCGTGATTGGCTTCACTATATACCAAAGGACCCCTTGTGTTCCCTATGTCACCAAGTCGTCGAGTCCCACAATCATCTCTTCTTTACTTGTAGTTGGTCAAGTTCTCTGTGGGCTTGGATTAAACAATGGTTGCATTTGACTAGAGGCATGTCTACTCTTCATAGTGTTGTTAGAGGATTATTTACTCGGAGGAAAAACTTGGTTTCCGGGATGCAAAGGGTTGCCTTAAGCATTGTTGTTTACCTCATTTGGGGTGAGAGGAATAGGTGAATTTTTGAGGCAAGCTATCGATTGACTAGCCACGCTTTCGAAGGTTCCAAATACTTTTTTTCATGATTTTCTACTACCACCATAAGGATCCTACTATCCTAGATATTGGTTAGGCTCGCCTCTCTCGGTGGTCGTCTTCTTGGGTTTGGTTGGTTGCGGTGTGTGGTTGTTGGCTTGGTTTGGTGTTTCTGCAGTCGCCACATCGGAGCTTGGTTTGGTGTTTCTGCAGGTCGCCACATCGAAGCTTGGTATGGTATTTCCTGCGAGTTACCACATCGGAGGTTGGCAAGGCCGATATTGTCTCGGTCAACTCCTTCGTGAGTTTGCTTTATTGGTATTTTTACCCCTGTTTGGGTTGTCCGATTGAGGCCGTTCTAGTGGCACGGCTTGGGCTAAACTCTGCCTCGTCCTCGCTTGGCTTGGCTATTTGGGAGCCGCTACGCCAACCTCCCTAGTTTCCGGTTTTGTTTAGCCTTGGTTGTTGCTACTCCCTCCGGCTTTTTGTGTTCTTTTCTTCATGTATAACTCGGTTTATGTAAATGTATAATTGTTCAATTTGGCCTTTTAACTAATATTTTATATGCTTGTCGAGCCTCCGTATATGGTTCCGGTTAGCTCGATCGATTCTTAGAGGGTTTTTCTTGGAATCTCTACTTGTTAGATTCCTTGAACAACTTATAGTGTCTAGCTATTTTGCTTTGTTTTGGGAGCTTGTTCCTTTTGTTTTGTAAATCCTATATATGCTACTTCTGCTGGTCCTCCGACTCCGTTTTCCTTTGATTTATATACTAACATTTAAATCAAAAAAAGAAAAAGAAAGAGCTCACAAGTCGTTGCTGACTCTACCGGTTTTTGTCTTTCTCGTTGTACTCATAGCCGATTTTCTAAATTGTTAGTTTTCATTTTTGCTTTTTCGAGTAAAGTTTTTGTATGTTATTGAGCTTCGTACATGGTTCTAGCTAGCTTCTATTAGTTTCCTATTTGGTTCTTCTTGGAATCTCTACTAGTTTGATTCCTTGAGCAACCATCTAGATATAGCTCCGGTTCGGTTTCTTTAGGAGCTCGTTCCTAATTTTTGTAAATCCTATATATGTTGCTCTTGCTGGTTCTCCAAGTTGGTTTCACCTTTGATTTATATACTTACATTTAAATTAAAAAAAAGAGAGCTCACAAGTGGTTACATCTTTCTCGAGGTATGACTACTCTTCTAAGTATCTACCCGATGAAAAAACTTGGTTTTACGGATAAACGAGTCTCACTAAGCATTGCGGTTTATCTTATATAGGGGAGAGAAATTGATGGATCTTTGAGAACTCCCCTTGCTCGATCGACCACTCCCTCGATGTTTCCAAATCTTGTTCTTCATGATCTTTTATTATCATCATACCGATCCTCGCTCTTTTGGCTCTCGGATAGGCTTTCTCTTACATGGCTAACACTTGAGTAGTGGTTGGTTGGTTGATGGTTTTGGTGTGCCGATGCTTTTTCCGCTATGGTTGCTCCGGCTTGGTCATTCCTACTCCTCGTCCGCCCCTATGCGACTTTGTCTAGTCGGTGTTCTCCTCCTCCGGATTGGGGTCTTCCTAGCTCTCCGATGTGACTTGTCGCTTAGGTCACTCCGGCTAGGCCGTTCGTGCTTCCGTCCGCCCCTCCGCACTTCTTCTTATTCTAGCTCGGGGCCGCCAACTATGCTTGTCGCCGACACTTGGGCTATAGGATTTGGTTTTGCTATGCTAATGCTTTTTTGCTGTGGGTGCTCTTAGGCTGTGATTTTTGTACTAATGTTTTTCTCGCCGTGGTCGCTTCTGGATTGGTCGTTCCTACTTTTGTCCGTCGCTTTGCGCTTCTTTCATATGGGTTCTCTCCTCTTTTGGCTTCGTGATTCTCCTCCGTCCGATCGGCTTGTTTTGGTCGATCGGCATCGACTAACCTTTGTTGGTTCCTCGTTTGGGTTGGTCGCTCGCTTCGGCTACACCTCCCTCATGTCTACGAGTTCCGTTCACCCGCAGTGTCTGTTGCTCCAATCCGAGTCTTTTGCTTCCCCATTTGCATGTATAGGTGGGTTTTGTAAATTGTTAACTCACTTTCGGTAAAATTTTTGTATGCTCGATAAGGCTTTGTATATGATTTCGGTTAGCTAGTTAAGTATATTGAGGGGTTTTTCTTGGAATCTTTCCTGTCGATTCCTTGAACAACCTTTAGTTTCTAGCACTTTTGTCTTGGGTTTTTGGGAGCTTGTTCCCATTTTGTATATCCCGAATTAGCTACTCCTACTAGTTCTCCAACTCGGTCTCTCTTTGATTTATACACTTACATTTAAATCAAAAAAGAAAGAACTCACAAGCGGATAAGCATAATGGTACTCGTCGTTTCCAACTATGAGACTCGGGACTTTAGAACTTGTTGCTACGATCTCGGCCTATCCGACCTTAACTATACGAGGAGTCATTTCACCTGGAATGGGGTGGATGTTTGGATTAAAATTGACGAGTCTTAGCTAACCCTCTTTGGTCCTCCACCGGCTTCCTGCTCATATTCATTTTGATCCCCGGGAGCTTTTTCGACCATGCGTCGGTATCAATAACCTTAGGCTCCCACACTCGGTCCGGAAATCGGAGCTTTAAATTCTTCAACATGTGAGCATCCCATGCGGACTTTCATAACACTCGTGGTTGACGGTTAGGTCGCTGAAATCGGAGGTACACCCATGTATGTGCTTTGTCGAAAGCTTAAAACCCTAAAGGCTCCTCGAAGATGTTGAACAAACTCCATTTCAGCCACATCTCCCATAGAGTTGCTAGGGTCGAATCGGAATTAGCCAAACTCCGGGTTGATCTTCGGAATGATGGTGATAACTTTGAGCTTAGTGAGAACGAGAAGAGGCTCAAGCTTAATCGGTTAATCTCAAGACTTCGGAGAAGATGTATTTCAGCCAAAAATTAACATACAAGTTCCTTAAAGACTGTGATAGAGGAACAAGCTTCTTTCATGGTCTTATGAATCGAAGCACAAAGTCAATCACATTGCGGCTCTTATGAGGCCGGATGGGCGGCTTACTTCCTCAATTAACAAAGTGGGAGAAGAGTTTGTCAATTTTTATCAAAGCCTCTTAGGTAGCGCTAAGTCAACCATCCCCTTTGATCCGAATATATTTGCTAGTGGGCCTCGGCTACAACTGGACAGACCATGACATGTTACTCGCCCGAGTCTCGGAGAATACCATCAAGAAGGCACTTTTCAGCATTGATAATGATAAAGCATCGGGCCCCGATGGGTATTCTTCGTTCTTCTTCAAGCGAGGCTTGGGATATTGTTGGGAGTGATTTTTATGCGGCGGACCGGGACTTCTTTCGATCCGGGAAGCTCTTGAAACAGGTCGACCACTCGGTATTAGCTCTTATCCCAAAGAAAGCCAATGCTACTTTGCCTTGTGACTTTTGGCCTATTGCTTGCCGCAACATAGTCTATAAGGTGATCTCCAAGATTCTTTCCTCCGGGATATCTTTGGCCCTCAAGGATATTATTAGCCCTCTCGTAAAATGCCTTCGGGAAGGTAGAAAAATGTCGGATAATATCTCGCTTGGTTTAGGAACTTCTTCGCATGTATGGTCGGAAGAGAGCCTCTCCTAGGTGCCTAATGAAGATTGACTTCCGTAAGGCCTTTGACTCGATACAGTGGGGGTTTTTGAAATAGCTTCTTTTACAGTTGGGCTTCCCGGTCGATTTGTTGGTTGGATTTGTACATGTGTGGAGTCCGCCTCCTATTCCATAGCAGATCAATGGGTGTATGTTTGGGTTCTACCAAGGTAAAGCGAGGAGTTAGGCAAGGGGACCCTTTTTTTCTTACCTTTTTGTTGCTTACATGGAATATTTCTCTCAACTTATTCAGAGTTGCCACCGAAGTTCTAGTTTCCACTTTCACCCTAAATGCGGGATCCATGCCATCACCCACCTTGCTTTCGCGGATGATGTCCTGTTGCTTAGCCGTGGGGATATTCCTTCTATCAAGATTCTATCCAACCAGCTCTCTCTCTTCGGACGAACTTCGGCCTAGACATCAACGTGGCCAAGTCCTCGATTTTCTTTGGAGGGGTGAGGGCTAATTTGAAGAACTCCATTCTCCGAGAAACTGGTTTCGGTGAGGGCTCTTTCCCATTCAAATGCCCGGGTGTCCCTCTAAGTCCTCACCGCTTGATTGCTAGTCGGTTTGCTCCCCTACTTCACGAGTCTTGAATTTGCAATTCGGAGCTGGATGGGTAAACACTTAACCTATGCGGGTAGGCTAGAGTTACTAAGGTCAATCCTTTTCGGCATGATCCAATTCCGGTTAGCTATATTTCCTATACTCGTGGTGGTTATTACACATATCACTAGTATGTGTCATAATTTTTTATGGATCGGTGATGTTAACGGGAGCTCCTCGACCTTAGTGGGTTGGAAAACCCTCTGTCTCCCTAAATTAGAAGGTGGCCTATGCCTCTTTGACATCAAAGTGAGAAATCGAGTTTCATAGCTCGGAGGCTCGGGACATCCACCTCAAAGTTGACTCCATTTGGATCCCCTAGATCTACCATTTCTACTTGCAAGATAGCCGGGTATGGGATGTGGGAGCCTAACAAAATGCATCGTCATTGTGGAAAGCTATTATAGATTTGAAAGACCTACTTATTGCGAAATATGCTCACACATATGCGGTTATTAGAGAGCTCGGTCGGTGGCACTCAATTAAGGGCGGTTCTCTCATCGTTGTGTACTCTCGGCTTCGCCAACTAGGGATTTCGAGTGTGTTAGGGTTTGGTGACTTGGGAATCCCGGTCCTTGCCTCACCATGCTTTTATCCTTTGGCTTGTTACTAGGGGTTCCTTAAAAACTAGGGACCATCTGCGGCTTCTTCATTCCAGTGAAGCATGCCTTCTTTATAACCAAGTTAACGAGTCACATAACCATTTGTTCTTTTCTTGTACCCAGTCAACTACCCTATGGCTGAAAATTAAACAATGGCTAAGAATACGAAGAGGAATGAAAACACTTAATAGTTCTATTCGGGGCCTTTTTCGTTTTAACAATCTTGAAGCAAGGATGCGGAGGGTGGCCCTTAGTATAACAATTTATGTCATCTAGGAGGAAAGAAACAAGAGAGTCTTTGAAGCCTTGTCAAACTTGGTTGACAAGGTGTTTCGTAAATTTCGGATCTTCTTTTACATGGTATTCTATTTTCATGAATCGGACCACTTCCTCCTATATGTGTGCTAAATTATGTTACGTCTGTCCAGTCCGCCTACGGTCTTCTCTTCTTGTGGGCTAGTTACTCGTCTTCTACTTGGCTAGTTAGCCTATGGTCTCCTCTACTCTGCTAGCTGTCTCTTGGGGATCTTACTTCGGCCTTCTAGGTCTCTATTGCGGCTCTACCAAGCTCTCTGGTTGCTTTGGTCTCTTGGCCTCGAGCTTCGCTATTCCGCCCTAGAGTTGGGCCTATTACTAGGTCGTTAAGGCGGAGGCTAGCCTCTTTTCGCAGATTGGTTAGAGTTGTTTCAGCACTCCAATCTACCCTCCCTTTAGTGGTTGCATCCATTTTTATTTTTACATGCTTAGTTACCTTAATGATTCTATTCAGCCTCCCTTATCGCAAGTTGAGTTCTCATTGTACATGGTAGATTAGGCTTGGATAATTTTTGTTATGGGCTTTTCTCTGCATCTTCCAATTTGTAGATGCTTTGAATATCTTCTCTCTTTTCCTAGCTTTTACTAGTTTTGTTTTGGGAGTTTGTTCCCTTGTATTTCTTTTGTATTTGTTGTATATCTTGGTTTGCTCGGTGTAGAGCTGTTGGCGTAGCTTGGTCCGAGTTAATTCCGGTTGGGCTTCCGGCCTTGCTCGGCGGATCCACTAATCCATGATTCTCTACCTTCATGAGTTAGACCTAGTTCAATTCGGTTTCCTTAGGTCCGGTTGTAGGTTTGGGAGGTCTTTTGCTTCGGTTTTCTTCAACTTTAAGGGTGCCCTTGCTTCAAGTCCGACGGCGGCCCCCTGGGGTTCTCGGTTGCTTTGGATTTAGGAGCTTTACCTCTGCTATCCGACCCGTGTTTGGGCCTCGCCTCAACTAACTTGTTGTGTATTCTTGCTCCCGGCTTATGTTTTTGTTTGTTTTAGCTCTTGGTTGGAGGGGTTTGGTCGGTGTAGTCCTCCTCCGGATTTCCTTGGCTATTGTTCCACGAAGCATGGATGTGCTTTGCCGGACTTGGTTCCCCTCGGTTTTTAGATTTCTCCTTTAGCGACGATAGGCCGGGCCTAGCCTCCTTTCGTCGTCCGCACGAGTGTAACTCTAGCTTGGGCATCCGCCTCTAACCGAGAGGATGCTTTAAGTTCCGTCCGGCTTCATCTGCCGTTAGCGTCCGCCATACCTTTTTTCTAAAAATTACGAGTGGGTTTTGTTACTTATACGGATGGCTCTTTGCTATGGCTGCTATGGCTTGGTCGTTCTTGCATCCGATCGCCGCTAAGAGCTTCGCCATGTGCTATTACTTTGGCCTCGCATCTTTTGCTTCCCCATCCGTATGTATCACTCGGGTCTTGTGAATTGTTTAGGTGGTCACTCGTTTTTGGTTTTCTTCGACTTTCAAGATGCTCTTTATTCAAGTCTCGTTAGTAGTCCCTCCATTTGCATGCCCATGAATTCTGTTCTTGTTGGTTTATGCTCTTGGCAAAAGGGGTCCGGTTGGTCTTCCTTGGCTATTGCTCCACGACCTAGCCTCTCTTCGCGAGTAA